GTCCGAGGGCGGCTTTGCCGTCCATCACGACGGGCGCATCCACCTGATCTATTCCAGTTCGGGGTCAGCCGACCTATGTCGTCGGCGGTGCACGGGCACGCGAGGGGCACGGACCTGACCAACATCGACAATTGGCTGAAATGGACCGCCCCGCTTCAGCATAGCGAGCCGATGCCACCCGGTGTCACAGACTATCGCAACTATGAACAAGGTGTCGGACACGGCGCCTTCACCACGGACGAGGATGGCAACCTCCTCTATGTCTATCATACATGGGGGGACGGCGTGGGCGGCAATGGCGGGACACGCGGGTGCGGCAGCGCGTTCACTGGGCCGCAGACGGCCATCCGGTGCTCGACATGACGGCGGATGGGGAAGTCGCGCCGCGCAATCGTCAGGTCACCATGCAGGTCACCGTCCGGCGGCCCTAGCCCCGCCGGACGAGAACAGCGCCGGCAATGACGAGCGCGACGCCGGCCAACTTTCCGGTCGTTACCGGTTCGACCCGTACGCCGAACAGGCCAAAAATGGTCGACGACCAACGCCGCCACCAACTGGCTGGCGATCGCCGCCGTCAGCGCTACCGAAATGCCGAGGCGCGGCGCGGCGTGCCAGCACCGCGACGAACTCGGCCCCGTAAAGCCGCAGCCACGCCCAGCCCGGCGCACCCTTCAGCGCCGCCGACTGGTCCGGTCGATCGTCGCCCGTGCGATGGCGAGGACCACGGTGCCGATCAGGAACGACGTCAACGCCGCCAGCACCACCGAACCCGACGCCTTGGCCCAAAGCCGCATTGGTCGGCGGCTGGACGGCCGAGCCAAGCCAGCGACCGGGGACGAGAATGAGCGGAAAGATCGCGGCCATATCGGCGCACCCAACGCTGGGAGCGCTACTTCGTTCAGCCCGATCGCAACAGCGCCACCGGCATCCCGCTCGAACAGGTAGAGCGCGGTCCGTGCCGCCTGCCCTCTCGGCGCCTCGGCCCGCCGTCACGGTCGATCCGGCAACCGCGCATCGTCCTGCGCGCATTGCATCAGGTCGGCCATGTTTTCCGGCGTGGCGAGGCGGAACGCCAGTTCCCCGATTGCCGCGTGCCGAGCAGTTCGCCGGCCCCGCGCAACCGCAAATCCTCCTCCGCGATGCGGAAGCCGTCGTGGTCTCACGCATCAGGGCGAGCCGCGCCACGATGTCTCCGACAGGTGGCTCCCGCGCAGTAGAAGACAGCGCGACAGCCCCCGCCCCGCCCGACACGCCCGCGCAATTGGTGGAGCTGCGCCCGGGCCGAAGCGGTCGGCATGTTCGATCACGATCAGCGTCGCGTTGGGCACATCCACCCCCACCTCGATCACCGTCGTCGCGACCAGCACGCCCAGCCGCCGCCCGCGAACGCCTCCATCACCGCGTCCTTCTCGGCGGGCTCATCTTGCCGTGCACCAGTCCCACGCGCTCACCGAACCGCGCCCGCAGGCTTTCGGCACGCATCTCGGCGGCGGCGAGGTCGGACTTCTCACTCTCCTCGACCAACAGGCACACCCAATAGGCCTGCCCCCCCGTCAGACAGGTGACGGCCCAGCGCGTTCACCACCTCGTCCAACCGATCTTCGGAGACGACGCGCGTCTCGATCGGCTGGCGGCCCGGCGGCATTCGTCCAACCGGCTGACGTCCATCTCGCCATAATTGGCGAGCGTCAGGGTGCGCGGGATCGGCGTCGCCGTCATCGCCAGCAGATGCGGCGGGGCCTTGCCCTTGGCCGACAGCATCATCCGCTGCGCCACGCCGAAGCGGTGCTGTTCATCTACAACCACCAGCGCGAGATCGCGGTAGGTCACGGTTTCTGAAGATCGCTGTGGGTGCCGACGAGAATGTCGATCTCCCTGCCGCCAGCGCCATCAGCGTGGCTTCGCGCGCCTTTGCCCCTTGTCGCGGCCGGTCAGCACACCGCAATCTCGACCGGCAGCCCGGCGAGCGTCTTGCGCAGCGTCTCATAATGCTGGCGCGCCAGAATTTCGGTCAGGGCCAGCATCGCCGCCTGCGCACCTGCCTCAACCCGCGATCCAGCATCGCCATCGCCGCGACCAGCGTCTTGCCCGCGCCCACGTCACCCTGAAGCAGCCGCAACATTGGCGCGTCCTGCGCCAGATCACCCTCGATCTCGCGCACCGTCTGGCTCTGCGCGCCGGTCAGCGTATAGGGCAGCAGGCATGTCGCGTAAGCGCCCGTCGCCGTTCAGCGCCGTCCCGCCGCTTGCGGGTATCAGCGCACCAGCGTCATGGCGAGCTGGTTGGCGAACACCTCGTCATACCGCCCAGCCGCTCGCGCGCGCCTTGGCATCGGCGGGGTCGGCATGGATGCGGGGCTAAGGCGTCCTTCCAGTCGGGCCAGCCGCGCTGCGCCTTCAGGCCGGGCTCGATCCATTCAGGCAGTTCCGGCGCGCGCTCCACCAGTTCGGGCCGCGAGCGCCCCCCAAGCGCCGCGAGGTGATACCTTCCGACAGTGGATAAATGGCCTCCCGCTCGCGGAAATCCTCGGTGCTGTCGCCCGTGTCAGGATGGACGATCTGCAAATCCTGTCCGTACAGGTCCGGTGCGGCCGGACACGATCTTGGTCTCGCCCACCGGCAGCAGCTTCTTCACCCAACCCGAATTGCCGCCGAAATAAACAGGCGCCACACTATTCCCGCGCGCATCTTCGGCCCCGCACCCGCGTCGGTCCGCGCAGCGACGACGAGACGCGATGCTCCTTCACCGTCAGCGAAATCGCGATCACCCGTCCCGCGTCCGACACCATCAACTCGTCGCGCGGGAAACGGTCGATATGCCCGGTCGGCAGATGAAAGGCGACATCGACCACGCGGGCGATGCGCAGGCGTTCGAGCGGCTTGCGTTTTCCCGGCCCGACGCCTTTCAGCGACGTGACCTCGGCGAACAGCGGATTGAGGATATCGGGACGCATGACTAGATTGGTCTGTATAGCCTACCCGCCGCATGTCGCCAGAGCGTGCGGAGAATCTCGTCCGATCGGGCCCCCATGGACCACGAAACCCGTATCAAAGCGCCTTCGCTTTCTAACGCATGGCATCGCGGCACCAAGGAAGCCGATCTGATGATCGGCGGCGGCTTCGATGCGCATCACGAAACGCTGTCGCTGGAAGAACTCGACTGGTTCGAGGCGCTGCTGGAGGAACAGGATGTCGACATCATGGCACGGGCCATCGGCACGCAGCCCTGTCCGCCACAGTGGGACGGCCCGGTGATGCAGCGGATGCGTGCGCTGAATTTCGTACCGATCGCCCGGTAACAAAGCCGCCACAAGCGTTCGACCGATGTATCTTCCGTCATTGCAGGCGGAGCGAAGCAATCCAGAGCGTCCGGGCTATTGGCCCTGATTGCTTCGCTCCGCTCGCAATGACGGAATTGCCCGCAAACCGGAACCCCATGCCCGATATCAAGACGATCCTGACCGCCCAGAGCCCGCGCTGACCCTGTCGGGCGTTCCGGCAGGGTTCCTGCCCGTGCTGCTCGCCGATCTGGCGCGCGCCGCGACCACGCGCGCGGTCTTCGTCTGCGCCGACGAAGCGCAGATGCGCGATCCGCCTCGACCGCGACCTATTTCGCGCCCGAGCTGGAGGTGTTGCAGATCCCCGCACGGACTGCCTGCCCTATGACCGCGCCTCGCCGACCTTGCGCGTCATGGCGGAGCGGATCGCGGGCTGCACCGGTTGCAGGCCAAGCCCAAGACGCCGCAGCTCGTCCTGACCACCGCCAATGCCGCGACCCAGCGGGTGCTGACGCCGTTCCGCATTCGCCAGCTTGTCGCCCGCCTCGCACCCGGCGAGCGGATCGGACTGGAGAAAGCTGTCAACGCTGCTCCGGGCCAACGGCTATGTCCGCACCGAGACGGTCCACGACCAAGGCGAATTCGCGGTGCGCGGCGGCTGGTCGACCTGTTCCCCCAGCGGCGAGGAACAGGCGTTGCGGCTCGATTTCTTCGGCGACGAGATTGAGAGCGTCCGCACCTTCGATCCCTCCGACCAGCGGACGACGGGGCGGATCGACGGCTTCACCCTGCTCCCCCGCCTCCGAAGCGCTGCTCGACGAAAAAGGAATCGATCAAGCGCTTCCTGCACCCGCTACCGCGAGACCTTTGGCGCGACCGCGACCGGCGACCCGCTCTATCAGGCGGTTTCGGAGGGCGGCGCATGGCGGGCATGGAGCATTGGCTCCCGCTGTTCGAGACAAGCTCTCGACGCTGTTCGACCATCTCGGCGACGGTGCGGTGGTCGTGCGCGACAATGGCGTCGCGGCGGCGGCCGGCAGCGGCCGGTTCGATGCGATCGCCGACTGTTATGAGAACCGCAAACGCGCCGAGGCGGCGCAACCGGGGAGCTTCCGCCCCCTTCCCGCCAAGTCGCTCTACCTGACGCCCAAGGAATGGGATGCCGGGCTGGAGGCCGCGACCGCGCATCTGGTGTCGCCGTTCCACGAACCGGAAAGCGCCACCGTGTTCGATTTCGAGGTGGACGGCGCCCGACTTCGCCCCAACGCGCAGCGCGCCAATATCTATGAGGCGGTGGTCGATCATGTAGAGGCGCTTCGCAAGGACGGTCGCAAGCCCGTCCTCGCCAGCTATTCAACGGCGCGCGCGAGCGTCTGGGGAGCCTGCTCAAGGACCATGGCCTGTGAAGGGCGCGAAGGCCGCCGAGACACGGCAGGACGCGCTGGGCATTGCCGATACGTCCGAGAAGAGCTTCGGTGTCGCGCTGGTCGTGTTGCCGCTCGACCATGGCTTCACCGCGCCTGGATCGCCGGTGCTGACCGAGCAGGACATGCTCGGCGACCGGCTGGTCCGGCGACAAAGCGGCGCAAATCAGCCGATGCCTTCTGGCCGAACTGGCGACGCTCGCCCGGCGATCTGGTGGTGCACTCCGACCATGGTATCGGCCGTTATGAGGGGGGTTGACCTCGATCCCAGTCGGCAGAGCCCGCATGACTGCGTCGCGCTATCCTATGCAGGCGGCGACAAGCTCTATGTCCCGGTCGAAAACCTCGAAGTCCTGACCCGCTATGGCTCGGGCGAGGGACGGGGCGACGCTCGACCGTCTGGGCGGCGAGGCGTGGCAGCGTCGCAAGTCGAAGATGAAGGAGCGCATCCGCGAGATCGCGGGTGAGCTGATCGCCACCGCCGCCGAACGCGCGCTGCGCCCCGGCGAGTGGCCGAAGCCCGACAGCGCGGGCTATCCGGCATTCGTCGACCGCTTCCCGTACGAGGGGAAACCGACGATCAGGACCGGGCGATCGACGATGTGCTGGGCGACCTGACCGCGGGCAAGCCAATGGACCGGCTGGGTCGTCCGGCGATGTCGGCTTCGGCAAGACCGGGTGGCGTTGCGCGCCGCTCGTCGCGGCGATGGCGGGGATGCAGGTGCGGTGGTCTGCCCGACCACCCTGCCGCCCGCCAGCATTACAACAATTTCGGCCCGGTTCGAGGCTTCCGATCAAGATCGGCCGCCTTTCCCGCCTCGTCACCGCGAGCGAGGCGAAGAAGGTCAGAGCGACGGCGCGGCCTCGGGCGATATCGACATCGTCGTCGGCACCCATGCGCTGCTCGCCAAGAATGTCGAGTTCAAGCGGCTGGGCCTCGTCATCGTCGACGAGGAGCAGCGGTTCGGCGTGACGCACAAAGGAACGGTTGAAGGCGCTCAGGCCGACGTTCATATGCTGACGCTGACCGCGACGCCGATCCCGCGCACGCTGCAAATGGCGATGTCGGGCTGCGCGAACTGTCGGTGATCCAGACGCCGCCGGTCGACCGCCTCGCGGTGCGCACCTATGTCATGCCACAGGACCCGTGGTGCTGCGCGAAGCCTTGCTCCGCAGAGCATTATCGCGGCAGGCAGAGCTTCCTCATCACCCCGCGCGTCGCCGACCTGCCAGATATCGAGGAATATCTGCGGAAAGAGGTGCCTGAGGTTCGCTATGTCGTCGCGCGGCACGGCCAGATGTCGCCTACGGAAGTCGAAAGAGGCGCATATCGGCCTTTTACGACCGCAAGTTCGAGGTGCTGGTATCGACCACCATCATCGAAAGCAGCATCGACATTCCCTCGGCCAACACGATGATCGTCAACCGCGCCGACCGTTTCGGCTGGCCCAGCTCTATCAGTTGCGCGGCCGCGTCGGCCGGTCGAAGACGCGCGCCTATGCCTGTATGGTCACGCCGCCCGAGCGGATGATGACCGAGGCGGCGGAGAAGCGGCTGAAGGTCTGTCGACCTCGACTCGCTGGGCGCAGGCTTCCAGTTGGCCAGTCACGACCTCGATATTCGCGGGGCGGGCAATCTGCTCGGCGACGAACAGTCCGGGGCATATCAGGAGGTCGGCTATGAACTCTACCAGTCGATGCTGAAGAGGGCGATCCCCGAGGGCAAGGCCGGCGGCGCGTTCGAGCCCAAGCGCGATTTCAGCCCTCAGATCACCGTCGATGCGCCGATCCTGATCCCCGACGATTACGTCCCCTGATCTCGACCTGCGCATGGGGCTGTATCGTCGCCTCAACGATCTGGAAAAGAACCAGAGGTCGAGGCCTTCGCCGCCGAGATGATCGACCGCTTCGGCCCCGCCCGAGCCGACCGACAATCTCATCCGGTCATCAAGATCAAGCTGAACGCCAAAAAGGCCTGTATCGCCAAGATGGATGTGGGCCCGCGCGGGGTGTTGGTGACCTTCCACGATAATCGGCCCGCCAATGTCGAGAGGGTTGTCGGTTTATGTCGAGCAGCTGGGCGAACTCGCCAAGCTGCGCCCGACGGCAAGCTGGTGCTCAACCGCACTGGCCCGATGCCAAGGCTCAGCTGCACGGCGCGCTGCAATTTGTCGAAAGGCTGGCCAAGTCGGCGGGATAGGACCTGCCAGCGGAGCCGCCGGACCTCTGTCAGCGGCCCCGTTGTCGCTACTGTAGTCGGATATGATCTTCCACCATCGGCGCGACGCTCGAAGACCAATCGTCATGCCGCTTTCTCTTCCGCGCCACCGACAGGATCCAGCGGGCGAACTGGAGATGCAACTCGCCGATCAACCAGGCGAGAAATTCGAAGCGCAGTCGCCGCGATTGTGCCGCCCGCCACGAGCTCGGCCGGTGGTTGTCGGCGATCGCCGCGCGGCCGCCGGATCAGACCTTTCCTGCCGACAAAAGACCATCAGGCGCCATAGATGGCGATAAGCGCTCAAATCACCTGCATTCACCGCCGCGCTTGCGAAACGCTGGTGCGGATACCCCCCTCCGCCGGATCGGCGGCCGGTGCCGCCTGAAGCCGCTACGCACGTCAGGGCAATTACCGCCACCGTCACGCCGCGCATTGCATCTCCTCCTCGACCATCGCGACCAGCACCTCCTCTTCAGCCCGCCGGCGCGCAGAAAACCCTGATAGGTCTCGCAGCCCTGGCTGGCCGAGCAACTGCGCCTGTTCGGGCGTCTCCACCCTTCCGCGATGATGCCCCAATCCGAGCTGTCCGGCGATATGGATGACGCCGCGCACGACGATCCGGTCGCGCTCTGATCCGTCGACATCGGACACCAGCGCCCGGTCGATCTTGATGTAATCGATCGGCAGGCTCGTCAGATAGGCCGGGGCTGGAATAGCCCGTGCCAGAAATCCGTCGATTGCCACCTTCACCCCGCCTGCCGCAACAGGTCGAGCACGGTCGCAGCGCGATCGAGTTCGGAGATCAGCCCGTCTCGGTAATCTCGACGGTCAGGCGTTCGATCAGAAAACCGCTGGCCGCCACCCGGTCGAGGAAAGAGCTGCGAACCCCGCCCGTGCGACATCGGCGGCGGTGACGTTGATCGACAGGCGCAGATGCGACAGGTCGGCAGGCCAGCGCGGCGCGTTAATGCGATCTGCTGGATATGATCGGACAGCGCCAACCCGAGATCGGCGCGCTCAGCCGCCGCGAAAACGGATCGGCCCCAGCACCCCCAGCGTCGGATGCCGCCAGCGGGGCTAGCGCCTCGACGCCCGTGATCCGGCCGGTCTTGATCGAGACGCAGGGCTGAAACACGATATCGATCTCACCGCGTTCGATGGCATGATGGAGGTCGGCGCCCAGCAGGTCGAGCGGCGCGACGCCAGGATGGGCAAAGCGCAGCATCGCGCCGTCGCTAACCCGCGCCTGTCCCAGCGCTTCACCCGCACGCGCCAGCAGGTCCGATGGCCCCTCGCCCGGCTGATGAACGGCAAGCCCTAGGCGCACACCCGAGCGGATCGGCACCGCCCCGCACGGAAGGGGCCGCCAGCAGCCCTCCAGCGTCTCGGCGATACCCCCGTGCCGCGATCCTTGTCAGCAACACCCGCCATGACGAACTCGGCCCCGCCAGCGCGCGCGACGATCGCCACATCGCCAAAAGGCCTCGGCGGCCGCCTGCTGCATCCGCCGCCTCGACCCCGCGCAACAACGCATTGCCCGCAGGCCGGCCGTGCGCAGCGTTGATCAGGTCGAGCCGTGACAGCGCGACGATGATGGCAATGCGGCTTGTCCCGATCGACGACATCGGCGATCAGCGATGCGGTTCCCCACCTCGCCATCGGCATGGGTGCGCCGCCGCCGTACATCGAGCGTTCGACGCGCATGACGCTCGCCAGCTTGATCGAGGCGTGGATCATCGCCGCATCCGCATCCACCGGCAGCAGATGCGTCGCCCGGCGGCCAGAAAGGCGCGCAGCGTTTCGGGCGCGCCATCCGGGCAAAGAGCGATCAGCATCGCCGCACCGGTCGCCGCGAATCCACCGCCCCAGCGCCAGGCGGCGCGCAGAGCAGAGTCAGCGGCGCCCCGGGCATCGATCAACGCCACGCGCGCCTCGCTGGCGGGAAGGACGCGACCAGCGTATCGCCCGCCGGCGGCTCCCCATCGCGCGGCGCCATCGACCAGATCGCCCAGCCGGCGCGCATGACCGCTTCGTCCAACATTTGCAGGATGTCGGAACGAAAGCGTGAACACCGCCGTTCCACCATGGTGGGCGTTAAATCCGAATTCATCCTGCGTCATGCACGCATCCTATCCGCCGTCACGGGGATCACCAATGCCAATCCGGCCTTGCTGGCGTCCGTCATGGGTCTGCCTTTTGACGATGGTCAATGCTGAAAATCCACCGGGCGGTCGCTGATCGACCAGCATGTCGCACCATTCGTTATTTGCGGATTTCGGTCACCACGATCGTTGCGACCTGCGTTGCCGCTACTGCATGGCGGAACAGATGACGTTCCTGCCGCGTGCAAAGCTGCTGAGCTGGACGAAATCGCGATCATCGCCGAGCGTTTCATCGCACGGGCGTGACGCGCATCCGCCTGTCGGGTGGCGAGCCGCTGGTGCGGCGCGATGTCGCCGATCTGGTCCGGCGGCTGGGCGCCCCAGTCGGCCATGGGCTGGACAGAGCTCACCATGACGACCAACGGCACGCGTCTGGCCGAGCATGCCGACACGTTGGCCAGTGCGGGTATCCGGCAGATCAATGTCAGTTGACAGCCGCGACCCGGAGCGGTTCCGCTACATCACCCGGCACGGCGATGTCAGACAGGTCATTCATGGCATCCTCTCCGCACGCGATGCAGGGTTGATGATCAAGATCAACATGGTCGCGCTCAAGGGGGGGCTGAACGAAGACGAGATCGCTTCGATGCTGTCTTGGTGCATTTCGGAGCAATTGGACCTGTCCCTGATCGAGACCATGCGCTGGGCACGATCGATGAGGATCGGATCGATCCGTTTCCTCCCCTGACGACCGTGTTCGACCGGCTGTCGACCGAGTTTCCGCTGGTTCGCGCCGGTCATCGCACCGGTGGCCCGGCGCGTTATTGGCAGGTGGAGGCGACCACCCGCCCGGCCTTATCTCGCCATGACCGCCAATTTTTGCGACGGCTGCAACCGGGTGAGGCTGACGACCGAGGGCAAGCTGTATGTAATGCACAGGCCGCTGAGGATCAGGTGGATTTGAAAGCGGCCTTGCGCGACGGCGTCGTCGCAGCCTGGATGCGGCGATCGACGCGGGGCTCGCGCTTTAACCAGCGCAGCATGATTTCCGGATCGGCGGGCGCCGCCCCGGCCGTCGCCGCCATATAGGCGTGACGGGCGGATGAGCGCGCCCCATTCGGCGAGCGCTCGTCGCTGCGCCCACCGCACCGGCACAGACCGCCGCCGAGGACTTGGCGCAGAGCGCCGACTGGGTCGATTTCGGCAGAAGCCGATTATGTCATCGCGCTCGGCGGCGATGCTTCATGCTGCAGACGCTGCACCGGATGCTGGAACGGCGGCGTGGGCCGGTGCGGTGTTCGGCATGAACACAGGTACCGTCGGCTTCCTGATGAACGAATATGGCGCAGCTATGGGCTGGAGGACCGGCTGGCCCGCGCCAAGCCGTTCCGCGTTACCCGCTGCAAATGACCGCGACCGGCATCGACGGTCGCGTCAGGTACCTGCCATCAACGGTATCGCTGCTGCGCGAGACCCGCCAGACCGCCAAGCTGGAGGTGCTGGTCGGCAACCGCATCGTCTGCCCGAACACCTGCGACGGCATCTACGGCGCGACCCCCGCCGGATCAACCGCCTATAATTTCTCCGCCAGGGCCGATCCTGCCGCTCGGCTCGGCACTGATCGCGTTGACGCCGATCAGCCCATTCCGTCCACGACGCTGGCGCGGCGCGATCCTGCCGACAAGGCGCGCATCTCGATCCGCGTCCTCGATCGGGCAAGCCCCCCCGTCTCTGCCGTCGCCGATCAGCGCGAGTGCGCGACGTGGCGCAGGTCATTTCATCTGCATGGATCCGCTCCGCGAACTGACGCTGATGTTCGATCCGGAACACGCGCTGGACGACCGCCACCATGGAACAGTTCGTCGCCTGACGACCCAAGGTTATCCACAGCTTTGGCGGCGGGACATACGCAAAACCGTCAAAGGGGTTGCGGCTTTTTCAAGCCCTATAGAGCCCCTCCACAGCGCCGGAACATTCCTGACCAAGCTCAGCGGTAGAGCTCTCGACTGTTAATCGAGCGGCCGTAGGTTCAAGATCCTACTCAGGGAGCCACCGGCGCTATGAAGACAGTAATCTGTTGACATTTTAGCAATCTCCGGTTGCGGGTCCCACCCCCAATGCCCTTCCGTTGAAGCACCCTAGTGTCATGTGGTAGGGCAGGCTAAGGCCCCCGAGGGGTTATGTGCGAAGCCGAGCTATGTCTGCTCGTACACGGTCTACAGCATCTTCATCCAGCAGCGCGTGCATCCGAGAAACTTGAGCAGCCAGTTGAGCGCCGCCAGATCGGGCGCGTTCACGCGCCGTCCGCCATCGCGTCCCGCGACCTCCGGGCAGCGCATACCCTTTGGCATCCAAAATGCCGCGCCCATCACCTGACAGCAACATGGCGCATCAAATTCCCGATTGAAACATCCAGCGAGACGGCCGGTGCATTCCAATTGGGATCGAGTTTCGGGGAATGATCGGTGGCTTCCAAACTGTTGCACTTGAAGGCCACCGATTATGGGGCTGGCTAAAGTTTCACGGCGGCATTGCCGCCATCTGCCCAAAGCGCCGAGCCTGTGACGAAACTCGACATATCACTGGCGAGGAACAGCGCCGCTTGAGCGACTTCCTCGGGTTTGAGCGATCCGTTTCATCGCGTGGAGACCGGCAGCCACTCGCGCTGGGCGTCATCGCCGGCCATGTCTGTGGCCGTGTTGCCGGGCAGGAGGGCGTTGGCGCGAATGCCGGCTGAGGCATAGTCGGCCGTGATGCCTCTGACCAACCCAAAGAGGCCCTTGGCTGCGCCATGCAGCGCCATGCCCGGCAACCCACGCTGTTACCGACAGAAGCTGCTCGTAAAAACAATCAGAGCCGCCCCTTGCTCGATCATGGCAGGAACGCACAGGCCCGGAGGCGCGGAAAAGCCGCAGTCGTTACCGCCAACACTTCCGCCCATTGGCGAGGCTGAATCGGCAAGCGGCCCGGTGGTCCCAAACCAAGCCCGCATTGTTGAAGGCGATATGCAAAGCCGCCAAACGTCATTTTAACGGCAACCGCCTCATCGTGCGTGCCCTTCCCGTAACGTCTCCAACGATGGCGAGAGCGCGACCACCTTGATCTTCGATTTCGTCGACCGCTGATTTCAGCGACGCGCTTCCCGCCGGGCGACGAGCACCACAGACGCACCGTGTGCGGCGAATATTTGCAGCCGCGCTGATGCCGGAACTGGCACCCGTGATAATTGCAATCTTGCCGTTCAGCAGTTTCATTGGTTGGCTCCTTTACGGAGGCAATCAGCTAACGACCCTTTCCCCGCGCGCGTCCGTTCCTTGTCATCAAATTGATTAGGCGACTCTGTGCTGGATGAACTGCCCCGGTTGGGAGCCGTTGACGGCTTGATTGAGACCGCTGGCCACGCCGCATCCGTTCCACGGGGACGGTTTTTCCGACCCATATTCCCGAATGCCTTTTTCCCGAAAAAATGATCCGTTGGGCATGGAGTAATGGGCATACAGGAATGCTGAACCAAAGTCGGACCGGGCAGAAACTGGCGGACTGTAACTGGAAGTCGGGGGCAGCAGTGGTCCTCCTGACTCACTCGCGCTTGGAACGGCGAGCCAGATCGACTGGAACCAGCGTCTCATAAAGCATTTTGGCCGAACAGCCCGACTTTGCATTCCCAAAACACTATCGAGACTGCCCAGAAACCTCAGTCGATCTTCCATGCAGGAAGACATGCACCCAGCAAAAAGCAAAGAGCCGGCGAGCGCCGATTGCTCATGGAATGAGAGGCGAAAGAAATACCGACTGAAGCGGCCTCAAAATGACCGGACAGTTCCTCACACTTATGTAAGAGGAGGCATATGACTGACCGTAATCCCGGAGCTAATGTGCATGCGGAGGGTTCTCGGAGGTTCAGCGCAGGCGCTGGACCCCGGAAGAGAAGCCCGACGGTCGAAGAAACCTTCCGTTCGGCAACAGCGTGTCGCTTATGGCGCGCACGCATGGAGTAGCGCCCAATCAACTGTTTGGTTGGCGCCGACAAGCAGCAAAGCGGAGCACTGACCGCCACCCGTGCTGGTGGCGAGGTGGTTCCGGTGCGAATATCGCGCGCTTGAGAACCAATTGTGCGAACTACAGCGCATGCTTTGGCAAGAAAACCATGGAGAACGAGATCCTGCGAGGCGATCCGCGCGTGGCTGGTCCCCAAAAAACGCCGTTGCGCACGCTCGTTGCCGGAGGGCAACCTGAGAGGCATGGCGAATGCGCTCGGCGTCTCCGGCAGCATCTCTTCTTCAGCCAAGCGCAAGGCTCCTGCACGCCGCCGTGGCTGCCCGTGCTGCCCGGAGGAAGAACCGTCGGACATATCCGTGCCTTGATCACCGATCTGCCGACTTATGGCTACCGGCGGATCCATGCGCTCCTGCGGCGGCAAGCCTGAAATAGCGGATCACCCAGCCCAATGCCAAGGGGTCTACGGGTGATGAAGGTCCATGGCCTGCCGCTCCAGCGACATAGCGGCAAGGCTGATGAGCGTCGCCGCGACGGCCGCGTCGCGGTCGATACCCGCAACACCCGTTGGTGCTCCGACGGGTTTGAGATCGGCTGCGACAACGGCGAAAAGTGCGCGTCGCCTTCTCCCTCGACTGCTGCGATCGCGAGGCAATGGGCTTCTGCTGCTACCACCGCCGGAATATCTGCCGAGGATGTGCGCGATCTCGACCGCCACCGTCGAGCACCGCTTCGGCCACGTGAACCGGCTGCCTGCCACCATCGAATGGCTTACCGACAATGGCAGCCGCTATACCGCCAAGAAACGCGCCGCTTCGCACGCGAAATCAACCTCCGGCCCCGGACAACGCCCATCGAAAGCCCGCAATCCAACGGCATGGCCCGAGCTTCGTGCGCACCATGAAGGAGACTACGTCCGCGTCGCCGAAAAGCCCGACGCCAGAGCCGTGATCAACCAACTGCCAAAGCTGGTTCCACCACTACAACACCGTCCACCCGCATCGCGCCCTTGGCTACCTCGCCCGCGCGAATACATCACCCAGTCAACCAGTGAGGAACTGTCAGGGAATTAAGGGCAACGACACCGACCCCATTATGAGAACATCAGTCCGGGTCGTTTCGCCCAGCCCTCTGCCAGCATGTTTGCAAGTTGCCGTGCGCGAACAGAAAGCGATGTCAAGCCCCCAGGCAAACGCGAAGATCCCTTTGCGCCCCACGCATCCAAGAGCGGCACGATGGAAATGGCTGTGGTACGCGCAGCGCGATGGGCCGTCGTTGCGGAACAATGCCGACACCCACGCCGGCCTCGACCGGTGGCATATGGCATCAAAGCTGCGAAGCTGAACGCGAAGTCTGAGACGCCTTCCTTCACGCGTTGCCCGGTTTGCCGAAGCGCTGCAATGCACTGGCTCGGTCCAACCCGACAAAATCCTCGCCTAAAACATCCGAGAAGGCGACGCCCGTTTGCTTGGCCAGAGCATGGCTATGCGATGCCACCAGCACGAAGCGATCGGTACGGAAAGGCAAGGACTGTAAAGTACCGGTACCGTCCCCGCAACGATCCTGATCTCGGCCGCCCCTCCGCGATCATGCCCACAATCCGTCGCTCAAACGCTCCTGCACATCCACCGTCGTTCCAGGATGGCGGCAAGGAACCGACCGAGCACATCCGGCAAGAATTCGGTCAGGGCATTCGTGTTGCTTCAGCAGCCGACATGCCCGGCCGTCCCTCCAACATAGGAGCTCAACTCGTGCATCTGCCCGCGCCAGCCAGCAGCCCGCGCGCATGGGCCAAAAGGGCCTCGCCTGCCGGTGTGGGAACGACGCCCGATCGGCTACGCACCAGCAAGGTCGTACCGACTTCGCCTCGATATCGCGCAGCCCCGGGTGCTGGCGGCGGACAGGGCCAAATTCATGCGTGTCGCTCCGGCGGTGATGCTTCCTCCTTCTACCACCTGACAAAATAGGCGAAGATCGGAAAAGTTGAGGCGCTTTCTACCGACCTTCTTCTTCCAGAAGAGAAGGATACCTAACGAATATTGCCTCTTTTCGCCACCACCGCACCCTCCGCTTCCTTTAGCATCTACCGGCGAGAGAGCGTATATGGGGTTGCTTGGAGCCCGGAGGAATTGGCAGCGCCTGCCCACTGACTATCGCAACGATCGGGCTATGGGCGAATGCTAGGGCTTCCTGAGTATCTGACGGCCCTGCTTTCTTCGCGGCGGCTATGGTCCCGCCATCGCCCCTGCTGAGGTTGTCTTTTTCTGGCTTCGTCCGCAGCCTTCTGGCTAGTGCTGAGCGGCTTCGTCCTCGGCGTGGCTATCCGGAAAGTTGGATTGGCGACAGAACCGCTCGCCTACTGGCGGCGCATCTTCTGATTCCTCGGCCCCGCATGGTCGGCGGCGCTTTTGCTGACCTACCTCGGCTTTCGTCATGCTCTTCCAACATGGGACGGATCACCTTGTTGATGCCGGTGGTCATGGCGCTGGCGGACTGGACCGGCCTTGTCGAGCGGCAGTCGCGGGCGAATTCTACCTTGCGCTTGGTGGTCGGCCTGAACGTTCCAGCTGTCGGCCAGCATTTTGCTGGCCAACGTACCCAACCTCCGTGATGGCTGGGGCGGCGAACGGGCATGGCGTCCAATTCTCACCTATCTCTCATACCTCGTCCTGCAAGCCCGATCCTTGGCATACCTGGCGGGCCGCATTGACCGTGCATCGTCAGGCTCTTTCCTGCAGCACTTTGCCCTCGACAGACGCTGAAAAGGCCAAGCCTTTGAGTATTGCTGAACGCCGTATGGTCTTGGTGCTAGGCGGACTCTGCTCTTCTGGATGACAGACGGCACGGTATCCAGCCAGGCCGATCATCCTTTGCGGCCGCTTGTTTCGTCTGCTGCCGGGCGTCGGCTTCCTGAACAGTGATGAATTCGCGGCGGAGGTGAACATTCGGACATGCCTTCCTGTACATTGCCGAATCCTTGGTCCCGCAGCAGTTGTGGTCAACTCAGGGCTTGGGAACACTATCGGCGCGGCCCTGTTCCCCCGCTCCGCTGACCTGGCGAGCCCTCGGGTGCGAGCTCGCCACAATTTGCTGCCCTTCCGACGCTGTTGAACTTCATCGTCACTGCCAACGGCGTGCCGGCGCCTTTACTCCGCTTGCCCGAGCCCAGCGGAGGGAAGCGGTACGCCACACATTAACCGTTCTGATGTTGTAAACATCGGTTACGCCACACCGTTGTTGCGCTGCATCAGGCGTCGCCGATCGCTGTCGCGATGGGCATGGAAAAGGTGCCGGCGCGCGACGGCTCAAGGCTTTGCCTTACGATGGCGGTGGCCACATCTGGGCTGTTCCTGCCATTATATTACGCCCGGTTCAGGCTTCTGAACTGGATCCCGTGATCGGAACGGTCGCTGACTGTCACGAGCCATGCCCCAAGGCTACATCGGCACGGTGCGCAATAGAATCTGCGACGTCGGTTCCGCATGGTCAGCGATCTAAAGGAAGTCCCCGCCGCCTCGCTAAGCGATCATTCTGGAGACGGCCTTGGTTCGTCCCTATCATGGGCCGACAGGGTTCTGATCGTTGACGCACCAGGTCAACTGTCCTAGACCCGGTCATGGAGCTGATAGCGATGCCGACATCGAAAAAGGTGAACTGATCGTCGAAACCGCGGATCGAATGTTCTACGAAGGCGGATACGAGGCCACCTCCTTTGCAGACATTGCGGCATCGCCTCGGCATCTCCGGGCAATTTCATCATCATTTCAAGACGAAGGATGATATCCCTCGATGCCGTCATCACGCAGATAGATTGCACCCGTGCCATGCTTGACGCATGGCACGGGTGCGGGGCCGGGCCGCAGGAACGCATCGCCCTCGTTCGTGCGGTTGCTGTTGGTCAATCGCACGAAGATCGCATGGCCTTCAGGTTGTCCGGTCGGAACGCTTTGCACCGAACTGGCGAAGCTGCAGCATGGGCGAAGCATCGCGCGAGGGGCATCATGGGGCTGTTCCGCGATTGGCTGACCGAGCAGTTTCAGGCGCTTGGGGCGGGCGAGGCATCCGAGGAACACGCGGTTCACTTGCTGGGCTGGGCACAAGGTTTGGCGATCCTGCCGTCACGTTTCAGGATGAGGCCGTGATCCATCAACAGGTTGCCGCGACTGAAGCATGGCTGGCAGCATACCTTTATCATTCAACGTCCGATTGACGCGGGAGGGATCATGTTCGTCACCTTTCATTCACCGAGCGCCGCGAGGACGCTCCTCGGTTCATGGCGGAGCACAATGCCCGGATCGCACAAGGATTTGCCGACGGTGTATTCCTCTGCGGGATCGCTGTACGACGGTGCCGGTGGTGCGATCGTCCAACCGAGGCGAGCCATGCATCGCATGAGACACGCCTGAAGGCAGACCCTTTGTCGTGCATGGCATCGTCACCGTGGAAACCCGTGCGTTCGATGTGAACGGGCGATCCTGGCTCTCGATCACCTCAAGGCCTTGGCATGAGTGCCATCATGACGGGGCCGGACGGACAACAGCGGTGCCGCTGGTGCGCGGCCGCGCCGGCGTTCATCGATTATCACGACCATGAATGGGGCTATCCGGTCACCGACGATGTCCGGCTGTTCGAGAAGCTGTATCGAAAGCTTCCAGTCGGCCTGAGTTGGAGAACGATCCTCGCAAAGCGCGAAAACTTCCGGGCGGCCTCGCTGGCTTCGATTTTCACGAGGTCTCCCGGTTTGGAGATGATGATGTTGCACGGCTGCTCAACGATGCGGGGGATCGTCCGCCATCGCGGCAAGATCGAGGCGGTCATCAACAATGCCGGGCGCGCTTGTGAATTGGCGACCGCGAAGGTTCTCTGGCAGCCTTCATCTGGCGCTTCGAGCCCGTCGACGATCCTTCCCGCCGCACGGTCGGTCGACCTCTCCCGCATCCAAGCCTTTGTCGAAAGCCCTGCGCAAAACAAGGGTGGAAGTTTGTCGGGCGACCGTCTATGCGTTCGTATGCAGGCGATGGTCTTATCAACGATCACGTCGAGGACTGCGTGATGCGTGAAAAGGTGAACTGGCCCGCAACGCGATGACGCGCCCCTATATAGAGCTTCGCCCATCTGGCAGATTCAAAAAAAAGATGGCATTTCGAATCCGTCGCTGCCATCGGCGGTGTGCTGCCCGCAATGATGAAGCAGAGTATTCATGCCATGATGCTCGGGATCAACTGCCTGACCATGAAAGTGCCGTAGCTGGCATGGTTGAGCGCATCTCGTCAGCATCTCCCCGCCTCATCTGACTGACCGGATCGGCCCGTGTCGGGGCACCGCCCCACCGGTGTCGATCGTCGTCGGCTAACAGCAAGGCTTGCCCGTGTGCGTCGCGGGCGTCTCAACGTCTTTCAGGTGAAATTTCATGTTCTATCGTCATGCGTCGGCGCTGCTGCCGACGACTGCGTTCGTCCTGCTGCGGGAGCAGCAACCATCTGGCTGAAATCGGACTACAGCACGGCTCTCCTTTGCGCTGCTCATCCTGCGCTATGCCCTCGCCTTCACGGTCCTATCGGCCTTTGCGGTTTGGAACGGCATGCTGTTGCCGGAACGGGGGAACCCGCCGTCGCAACGCGCTCATCGGCTTCCTGATCGCGGGGTTGTATTCCCCCTGCTACCTTCTGGCACTGGACAAGGGCATTACGCCCGGCGCGCTGGCGACCCTATAGGGTGTCCAACCAATCCTGACCATCTTCCTCACCGAACGACGCGCCACTGGCCCCGTCTACTGGGGCTGACATGCGCACTGGTCGGACCGCCTCGTCATTCGGATGGCCTCGCCTCGATGCGCTTCGATCTGCTGGGGCTAGCATTGTCGGACTGTCGCTTGCCGGGATCACGGCGGACTGGATCCTCCAGAAGCAAAAGAAAGCAAGCTCCGTGGGTGGTGCTACCAATGCAGTATGCTGTCGGACCTCCGCATTCACGGTCGCAGTGTCACCGCTCGGTGAGTTCAGGGCATCTTGGGATGCCGGCTTCATGCTGCCGGTTCTGTGGCTCGGCCTCGTCATTTCGGTCGGCACCATCGTTCCTGCTCTACCGACTGATAGCACGCGGCAACCTCGTCAACGTCACCAGCCTGTTCTACCTTTTGTGCCGGGTGTCACTGCGGCGATGGATTGGGCGTTCCTCGGTAATCCCATGTCCGCACACTGATGATGGGTGGCCTTGCTTTGGTCATCGTCGGTCTACTGATCGTCTTTCGGTATCGAGCTGGCTGATTCAGGAATTCGGCAATACGCGCGTGGCGCAGCCAAGCCCATATTGCCGTATGGGAACAACTAGGTTGGGAACCTATGTTGTTGATGGAATGTTTTAAACTGGCGCGGCTGATAGGTTTTGACAGAACGGCTATGGCACGGGCATCTGTTTTGGCTATCTGACGAGCGCGAGCCGCGATCGGGCCAATATCTGCCCCATGGCCGTCCTGGCAAGCTCCGTCGATGATCGGACGGTGATTTCAGGCATTGCGGATGTACTCAAGACAGGCTGCCGGTGGCGCGGATGTTCCGGCGGCCTATGGACCGCCGAGCACCATCTACAATCGCTATAACCGATGGGCATCGCGCGCATCTGGCAGCGGGTTGTTCGAGAAGATCGCTGGCGCTCGCCGGTGATCGCGGCCGACCGCTCGCCCTTGCCCTGACACCCGGCAACGTTGCTGATATCAGCATGGCTATTCCACTGCTGAGCGTCGCCACGCCAGCCCGCCGCCTCATCGCCGACAGAGCTGATGATGCCGACACCTACGCCGCTGGCTTGCCGACCGACCTGTCGGGGCCGTGATCCCATCCACCGCCGCGCATCGCACCCCTTACCTGCTCGACAGACGCGTTTACCGCAGGAACGTCATTGAGCGGCTGTTTTGTCGGTTCAAGAATTGGCGGCGCATCGCCACCCGATACGACCGTCACGCCAGCAA